ACTTTAAGCTCTACTACAGAGCTATAGTTCTGAAAACAGCCTGGTATTGGCATAAAAATAGACAGGTAGACCAATGGAATCGAATTGAAAATCCTGATATGAACCCACGCACATATGAACTGATTTTCGACAAAACAGCTAAAATTATACAATGGGGCGAGGACAGCATCTTCAACAAATGGTGCTGGCACAATTGGATGAGGGTGTGTAGAAGACTGCAGATAGACCCATGTCTGTCGCCATGTACAAAACTCAAGTCCAAATGGATCAAAGACCTCAACATCAATCCAGCCACATTGAACCTCTTAGAAGAGAAAGTAGGAGGTACCCTTGAACAAATTGGTATAGGAGACTGCTTCCTGAACTTAACTCCAGGGGCACAGACACTGAGAAACAATTAATAAATGGGACCTCTTCAAACTTAGAAGCTTCTGTAAGGCAAAGGACACAGTGGACAAGACCAAACGGCAGCCCACAGACTGGGAAAAGATTTTCACCAATCCTATATCTGACAAAGGGCTGATCTCCAAAATATACAAAGAACTCAAGAAATTAGTCAACAAAACACCAATTAAAAAATGGGGTACAGAACTGAAAAAAGAATTCTCAATAGAGGAAATCAAAAAGTCTGAAAGACACTTAAGAAAATGCTCCACATCCTTAGCTATCAGAGAAATGCAAATCAAAACAACTTTGAGATACCATCTTACTCCTGCCAGAATGGCTAAAACTAGAAACACCAATGATGACTCATGTTGGAGAGGATGTGGAGAAAGGGGAACACTCCTCCACTGCTGGTGGGAGTGCAAAGTCATACAGCCATTTTGAAGATCAGTATGGCGGTTCCTCAGGAAAATGGGAATTAGTTTACCATAGGACCCGGCAATCCCCCTCTTGGGCATATACCCAAAGGATTCACAGCCATGCAACAATGGCATCTGTTCAACTATGTGCATAGCAGCACTATTTGTAATAGCAAGAACCTGGAAGCAACCTAGATGCCCCTCAATTGAAGAATGGATAATGAAGATGTGGCACATCTACACAGTAGAATACTACTCTGCAGAAAAAAATAATGGTATCTCGAAATTCACAGGCAAGTGGACGGCACTTGAAGAAACCATCCTGAAGGGGGAAACCAGTCACAAAAAGAGGAACACAGTATGTACTCACTCATATATGAATTTTTAGACCTAGATCAAAGGATCACCAGCCTATAATTCACACCACCATAGGAACTAGGATACAAGGTATATTCTAAGAGATTTACAGAACTAGTAAGGGACAAGTCCACCAGAGCTCAGGGGAAGTGTGGGGGGGGCAGTGAATGGAGAGAGAAGCAGGAGAAAATGAAGGGGAGGAAATGAAAACATGTGCGACCAGGAAGATTGAGCCTGGTTAGGAATAGAAGACAGGAGAGAGAGAGAGAGAGAGAGAGAGAGAGAGAGAGAGAGAGAGAGAGAGAGAGAGAGAGGACATAAAAGACGAGCCAAATATTTGAAGATAAAATTTAACACAAAGAATGGTCTAGAGAACTACAAGACTGCTGCCAACTAACAATTTGAGCTTCCGTGGAAAGGCTACCATAAATGCCCTTCCCGGAGAATGAGATCAACAACTAACTTATCCATGGAGCCCTCAACTAATGCCTGTTGGAAACAGGAGCATACACCTATACATAAACACTGAGTCATAGTAGAACTCAGATGCAGATGGAGAGGACAAGACCAGGCGGTAGAAACACATAGAGACAGCTTACCTGAACAAGGAGGAGCTAACGGGCCACCAGACTGATAGCTGGGATGCCAGCATGGGACTGACTCAGGCCCCCCTGAATATGGGTCTCAGCCAGAAGGACTGAGCAGTCTAAGGGACTTCAGACAGTGGAGCCAGGATGTATCCCTGGTGCACAAAAGGACTTTGCGAACACATCCCCCATGGAGGGATAACTGCCTTAATCTAGAGACAGGAGAGAAACCTTAGTCCCTACTTCACATGACCTGTCAGATCTACATGACCGCAACTGGATGTCATTCCCCTACATATGGAATTGGGGTGGGGGGATGGGCTGGGATGGTGGTTAGAGTGCATGTGAGAGGGCAGAGAGGGTAAAAGGGGGGGAAGGAGGGAGGGAGGAAGGGAGAGAGGGAGGGAAGGAGGGAGAGGGAACTGGGATCTACATGTAAAATAATAAATTAAATTAAAAAAATGCTTTGACTCCAAAATTTAAGTTCAAGGACAAGTTACTGGGGAAAAGGATTTCTATTTTTGTTTCCACAGAAAATGAAAAGATGTGGATTCCTTCCAGACTAATGTGGTTTGATCAAGCCAGACCACCTGAAACAGAGTACCAGATGATCCTACATTCAAAACATCTGGACAAAGCAGCCTTACAGACTACAGCTAGGATTTCTGCATCTTCTTAGAACTCCCCCATGACAGCGCCCCTTACCAGCAGGAAATAGTTTGGAAAGATCGACGCCCATATTCCCAAATAGTTTCTACAAATATTTGTTTTCATTTAAATGGACTTGATTATGTAAAATAAATAAAAAAAATCCCCCCCAGTGGCAAATATGGTGAACAGTCACTAGATTCTCTATGCCTTGTTCAGTTGTGCTGAACTCCAGGGGATACTAACTTCTGTATAATTCAGTAGAAGAACTATGTTTTTTTTCAATAGATCTTCCACTGACACATACACTATAAAAATGGCAACTAATTTATGTAGTTCCCTGGATTGTACTTTTCTTAGAATTTGTTTCTTTTCTTTTTCTTTCTTTCTTTTTTTTTTTTTTCATTAAGGTCTTGAAACAATAATGTTGACCTGAAGTTTGAAGAGTACACACTACAAAAAGAAAATCATGCATGCTATATTAATTCACTCTTGTGAGGAAACTCATAACAGATTCATCCCTTTCCATGGTTATTAAAATCCACTTGCTGCACCCCATGGCAGAATGGAGCTTCAAGTTTCTTCTGGTCTCAGCTTTTTTTCGGCTTTTAAAAGAGAATTTGTGTTACATAAGGAGGGAACAAATGGGACTCTTACAGCAGCATGGTCCTGATCCTAACAGGCAATCAAAGAGCAGTTACACTTTAGAAAATTGGATATTGCCTGAGGCAAAAAGAGTCGAGAAGCATACAGTTAATTTCACGATGCCTATTATTTTTTAAAGATTAATGAGGGAAAGTCATATTCTTCCTTTGTGCCAACTTGAGAAAAGTAATCGCCTCTACATGGCTCCCATTATTATTGAAAGTAATATGTACACTATGGCTAACTGGGTCAGGTGGCTCAGCATGTTAGGTCATTAGGAAGCAAACCTTCCATCCATAGTTCCTCCCTGGGACACATAAAGTGGAATAGGACTGAAGCCTGCATGAAGTCCTCTGACCTTCACATGCATGGAAGGCGAACACCCTCATACCTGTACACATATGTACAAAACACCCAGATAAATAAAAATGGAACAAAATTTTAAAAAAGATGTCAGTAAACTAGGTCATGATTAATTTCAGTACACTGAAATTACTAACCCTGCCCTAGTCATACACACTGTCCTAGGAAATTTTAGCTTTGTGTTATTAGTCAACTTTAGGAAAATATAAAAGGCATCCATGGACATGAGCCATAATAAAAAGTCTTATAAACTCAAAAGAAGGTGAGTACAATGGAGAAGACTACTTCATATTCCTTGGAAGCCAAGTGAATTTCATCTATATAGTATTGCATTTTAAAAAGCAAAATGGCTCTATGTAATCCAGATTTAGAGAGTGTCTTAGGGTTTCCATTGCTGTGGCAAAACACCTTGACCAAAAAGGAAGTTGGGGAGGAGTTTATTTGGCTTATGCTTCAATGTTGCTGTTCATCACTGAAGGAAGTCAGCACAGGAACTCAAACAGGCCAGGATCCCACTGCAGGAGTTGATGCAGAGGCCATGAATGGGAACTGCTTACTTCCCAAGGCTTACTCCACCCATCTTCATATAGAATCCAGAACCAGCAGCCCAGGGATGGCACCACATACCACAGGCTGGGTCCTCACCCATTGATTAGTAAATGAGAAAATGCCTTGTAGCTGGATCTCAAAGAGGCATTTCCTAAGCTGAGGCTCCTTCTTCTCATGTCTCTAGCTTATGTCAAATGTAGTTTTGACATGCGAAACTACAAAGGGCAAAGAAATTGATCAAAACCAGAACTTAACAATCAGTTTCCTCATTAATGAGGAACAAGTTTTCAGACCAGAATATATTCATTGTTTTTTTAAGAACAGCTTTTCAGAGATGACACAGAGCCTAACTTCTTCATTCAATATTACAAATGCTCTAACTATTAAATATAATTTTACTAAGACAAAATTAACATTGTAGAGGTAATATACTTTTAATACATTTCAAAACTCTGGTTCAAAAATAGCAAAAGAACAGAATTACCATAACATAGAGAGTAGCAGAATACTTTGAACAAGTGTCTAAAACTAAACCAAAGGAACATACAGTTGTTAACATCAAAATGTATTAGTTCTTCTCCCTATTTGTCATACTCGGTATGTAGTTTATTGCTCTGCCATTTGAGAACATTTGACAAGTGATGAACTAACTGAGATGCTGAGGTTTGGACACTGAGAATAATAACTAAGTAAGAAAATGAAACATTGCTGCTTTTTAAAAAATGACAGCCAGACTATATCTTATCTTGTAAACTTATCTCAGTACTGCTAGTTACCACGATCAGTTGTGTTATCACTGAAATGAACAAAGTCAGGAGAACTTCCTTACTTCCCATCTTTGTTGTTTTATAGGTGCAGGCATTATTCTTACCAAAAGACAGATCTGCTCTGACAATAATCAAATAGAAGTTGCAAACTTAAATAGTGAAATCACAAATTTACAAGCCAATTCATTCACAAAGTGATTTTATTCCAGCATTCATGTAGGCCAAAAAGCTGCTGCTCTAAACAAATATTTTAATAAAATCAAATTAATTTAGTATCCTACCTGTAACGAGAAAGCTGCATCTCCCTGCTCCAGCTTCGTTTATGATGCTGCAGTTATAAACTCCGTAGTTTTCATTGGAAAGACTTTTTACTGGATACTCTGTATACTCCTGAGAGTCAAACTGACCGGTCCGTAATAATTTATTGCCCAGACGCCACTCATAGGTCAACACTCGTATTGGATAAGCTCTCAAGACCCTGCAGCTCATGGTCACACTTCTGTCCTGTCCTTGACGAATTTCCAAGAATGCTGGTTCCACAGCTGGGGGATCTGGGGAAAGATAGTTTAAAATATAGGAAAGATGAGGCTCTCAAAACAGCAATCTTAATGGCTATTCTATTATGAAGGGGGTATTTTTAAAAACATATGTTATAGTGGGTGAGTATAAGAGGTGGGTGAGGAATTTCATTTTGAGCTGGGAAATATGGTTTTCTCAGAGTGGACAGTCAATGAGACTTGTTGCTTTACAAAAAAATATTTAGGAAAAACAGCAACAACAAAAAGTTCTTATTTACTTCTATCTACTTCCAGGAAAACCAACATTGTCATGTATTTTTATTTACATGTTCAGGCACAAGTCAAGTTATGGATGCACAAAATAAATCAAGACAGGGCTTCAAATTAGTGTAACATGGTAAAATAGACTAGATTCTGTTTCATCCATAAATTATAATCATTTGTTCAGCTCAGTCTGTGGATCTGGTAATCATTAGTTTATATAATAGATAAGACAAATTTATAAATCAGTGTTTTAAACTATTTGGTTTGATTTTCTTGGAAAGTCCACAGTCCATAAACTTTAAGCATATTTTGCAAACTATACCACTGTTTAAGATGACACTTAATCCCGCTGCAATAGCTGACTTATTTGTCACGTTTAAAACATTTTCATGTAATTAAAACTTGCTATATTTGTTACCTAAAATTTTTATTTTTTGATAAAATTTCCAATACAACATTTAAAGAATACAAAACACTCACTTTTCATTTTTAAAAACCCCAAATACAAACATTTACTAAAACATTTAGTTGTCTTCAATTAAAAGTTAACATCTGAAGTGGATTATGTACCTATCCATTTTATCATGGGAGCTGTGAAACAATGCAGGGCTGAAAATGATTGTCGAGTCTACCTTTAACTAGACATTTATGGACATCTTGTAAATTGTGCAGCCTAAAACTTGCACAGCTGGACCTGGTAGCTCTTACTTCACAGTGCTCAATGTTTTTGGAAATTGATTATTATCAGTCTGGAATTTATTACACCCTATGATGCCTGTTAAATGTTTTCCCTCTTTATTCTCATTATCAGTTATTGATGGTCATTCTTACTACTTTCAGCAAAAATTTTTTAAGCCACTCCATCAATTCTAATTTTATCTATTCAAATTTTTCCCTTTGGAGTCTTTCTCTAAAAGCAGTAAAGATTTTTTTTTAAAATGCAAGAAAATATAACCTGCTTTGAATGTATGTCATGATACAACACTGACAATGTATTTTTAGGAAAGGTGATGTGTGTGGTTTGTCTTGTAGGAAAGAAAGGGCTTGTAGGGTGCATATGAAATAAAGGAGAACATCCAAGGTATGAGAGAAAGGTACATATAAAGGAGCCAATGAGGAGGGAGTGTTCAGAGAAATGCAAAGGGGCTGCCAGAGCCAGTGTATCAAACACTCCTGTGTCTCTACAGAAAGTGACAGTAGAGTGTCAGGAGAGTCTTCCCAACCATACTTGGACCTCATGTTACAAAGTTAGGTTTTACAGTGTCTGTATTATGAAAATTATAAAAAATAAGGGACTTAATGATCAAATTATTAGCCATGATATTACCGTCATTAAGAAAACTCTGTAGTGGAAAAGAAGACATGACGCAGAGGGGACAAGGCATGTTGGGGGGAAAAAAGACAATATTGGTTTACAATAAAATAAAAGAATAAAAGGTGAACAACTATGAAATAAGCAGAAGACAAGTGATTACTTATGCAATGTGGTGAGTGATGGCATCAGTTCAGCAGAAGGGAAGAAACGAATGGGAATCTAGTATATGGTGGACACATTGATTCTCTGCCCTGTGAGTCACACTGGTAACAAAAACTTTCTCCTAACCCCCCTACTGTTACCTAATTTGTCTATTTCCAAACTACAAGCTATTTCTAGTTATCTCTTCTTTTAATTTCTTGTTTTAATGACTCATGGTCAGATGAAAGTCCATATAGACTCAGCCTCCAAATGGGTGGGTGCTTTTGTAGGACAGGGTTCAGTTCTGTCTGTCACTCAGAGGAATGGGGAAGAAGAAGAAACACTTTACAGGTCAGATCATGTCTGGTAAGACTGATTGATTAACTTGGTGACTGCCTATTTACTTTAGTTGGATTAAAATTTGAACTAGTATTGATATAATCTAGAAGGCTTTCTTAGTTTTAAGTTTTTCTCTTGTGGTTCTATGTCATTCTTTTTATTGTATATTAATTTAATCAATTTAATTATTTTAAAATGTGTGTTTATATTTTAAAATATCATGTATTTAATCACAAACATATACCAATTTTATTTAACAAATATAAGACTACATTTAAATAGTATGTCTGTTGTCTGACAAAACTAGTGAAATCAAATATTTCAGATAAGCATATTTAGATAAGAACCATGTGGATTTGGAGACAATATTACTATGTAACGTGCTATGGAATATGTGGTGTATGTATGTGGACATGAGAGTTAGGGAAAGTAGGTGTTGTAAGAAACGCTTATATGATTCTTTGGTAACATTGACCTATACGTTTTGCTCAATTGAGTTCCACTTTTAAGTATTGCAAAGCATGGTAGACACACCTTCGATAAGTCAGATGGCTGTTATACACTAGTCAGTTCACAATCCATAGTGTCTCTCTCCCTCAATGCTGGAGGCCAAGCATTACATATTCTTATAATATATATGTTTGATTTTGAGTATCTTGTTGGCAACTTAGTGACTGTAAGTCAGGTCTTCTTGGCCTCCATACTGTGGGCATTGTGAACTGGATAGTTAGTGCTTTATCGTGGAGATGTCTGGAGCTTTGTGGAGCATTCACCAGTAGCAGCTTCTCTCTGCTAGATGCCAACAACACTCAGCTGAGCTGTGAGAACACACAATATTCCCAGACTATGACAGATGTTTCGCAGGCCCCTAAATCAGTCCCAGTGGAGAGCCACTGCTCTAAGCCAGTCATTCTCAGGCTTGAATCTTCAGCAGATATTTTTTAATAGTTTTGTATGAGCCAATTTCTCTTTTGGCCACTGAGAATGAAGCAGTGGATAGTGTGAATTCTTGCATTGGAGATGTTTATATTTTATTTGGAAGAGAAGCAAGATGCCAAAGAAACACAGTAGTCATCATATTAATCACAGGGTGTCAGATGCAAAGAAGAATGTTAAACAGGTTTCTGTATCATTCAGGAATCTCTTTAAGGATATTTCTGCAATTCAGATCAGAGTGCCAGGGGACATTCAGTTGTTAGAGAAGGAGTGGGTGGGTGCTTGTAGGAAAGGGACATCTATAGGATGTCCTCAAAGAGGGGATGTTATAGGAACATGTCAGGCATAGAAAATATCTATTTCTTACTGTACTATCAAGAGCATGCACATTTTAAAGTTTATGAGTTCAGGTATATTACTGTAATGCATCTTTTTCTCTAAGGTTTACTTTTTAAGAGTATTTTATATACTGTTGTAGATATGCATGCACTCATTTATCTAGTATTTGCAGTTCACATTTTCGGAGGTATTTTATTCCTAATCTTCAGCATTCTTACATTTCCCAGGCACTTCTGACCAAGCCTATGCCTATCCTCTATCATTTCGAATCCTTTCCCCAAGATATTTAGCATTTCAATCATTTACATTTGAATAAAATTGTTTGTTCTTATCTTGATTGCTGTGTTTTTAAATGCTGGATTATATAATTATCCAATCTCTTTCTTGCTTCCAGTTAGGATTTGCTGTTATTTTGATCCAGTTTTCATGGATCTAGAAAAAAGCTAAATCTGAAAACTTTTTCCTTCTTTCACTCTCATCCTGAAATGTGCTACTGGCTCATGAATTTTAATTCTCCCTTGCTTTTAAAATTCTATTACACACCAGCAACAATGCTAACATTTCTATGCCCCATTTCATTAGCCTTGCAATCCTTAATACCTTAAGGTCTTTGACCTCTGATCATTCCTATTGTTTCAGTAGTCACCATTCTGAACTTCCTAGACATCTTTCCTTATTTTTATCTTCTTGATATGCAAAGACATATTATCAATATTAAAACTGTTTTCCAAGGCACACAATTTTATTGGCATGGAGTTCTTTCTGTTTGTCAACACACAGTTCTACTCCCTTTGGATGGCCATGCATCCTGTAGAAAATTGATTTCAAAGCCTTCCATTTTGAGCTACTTTTTCTTCCACTCAGATCCTTTCAAAAATCTCTTTGTCTTTGAGGTCCATGTAGTGTTTATGGGTATGAGCTGCTTTTTAGTTGTAAGTCCGATTTGTTGTGCTTATACCTGTTGATTTACATTTGTCTTTCATCTATGATATTTTGAAAAGTTCTCGTCATCAGCTCTTTGAAAAAAACTTCTTTTGTCTTCTTTAAATCCTCACTTGATGATCCTTTCTCCTATATCTTCCACATTTTAACACTATTTCCCAACTTCTTCTGTTTGTTTGTGTTTTTTTTTCTGTGTGTTATTATCAATAAATTCTTCTGAGAAAACATCTTGTTAATTTTTTTCATAACTCTACTTAATCTGTTAAATGTATCCCTGGTGTTTTTAATTCAATAATTCAGATTTATTCTATAAACTTTCTATGCAATTCTTGTGCATAGCTACTATGCTAGCATGGCCAGACATATCTTTAATGTCCTTAAACAAAGTCACTATTTTATCCTGTCTGATAGTGAAGAGCTTGGGGAGAATATTCCTGCTGCTTTTCCTTTAGAGTTTGTGTCTGTTGCTTTGGAAGTGTTGAGTCTTCTTCTAAACTTTGAAGCTTAAAATCATCTTGAATTTTTTTCTGCAGAGAGAACTAATATTCCTAAGCAAGTACTAGCAGTAAAACTTGTAATTACACAATGCTCATGACTGCATGCCTATTTGAATTATTAAGTGATAAAGGTTGTGATATGAACTTTTAGATTTCCACATCTTAAACATTACTATAGTTTCAAAACTGATATTTTCTGCCTTCTCTTGAGAGTGGCATGTAAAACACTATTTTCACTTTATCTTTTTTTGCATACTTCA